TCACATAGGCTGGCTCTTCTCCCTGGAGCCCCCGTGGCAGGAATCGAACTCTTGACCTCTCAGTCCGCAGCCAGAGATCTAAACCACTGAACTATCCTAAAAGCTTGCCTGAAAAAAAAAGGAATATATGTTCTGTTCAGTTTTCCCAGTACTTTTGACCTGCATTTCTTTTTTCTGTTTCTCTCCATGGACAGGAAGCTTTCCTGGAAACACATTTGGAGAAAACAGATGTGAACCAACATCCTTGATGAATCCCTAGGCAGAGATGTGGTCTACCTTGTTATGTCCCCCGAGCGTCCGTTTGGAGATCCAAAGATCGCTTTTTCTTCATATCCCAAGAATGTCGGGAACCCGTACGGTTTCCAGGAAGGGAAGCCTGAAGTCTTTCCACGTAGACAAAAAGATGGCTATGAACCAAGCATCATCCTTCTGTGTCCCCGCTTGAGCCTTTTGCAGCCACGGGGTTTACCCCGGAGCAAACATGGAGGAGCGGACGTTGTCTGGGAAGGTTCTGAAAGGACCAGGCCGTGGTCCTTGCCACGGAGAAGATGATGGCGGTCCAGATCTCAACATGAAAAACCAACCGGGGAAGGTAAACAAGGGAGAAGATTCTGGATTTGCTGATCTTGGACCCTTTCCTGGCCATCCTTCTCAGGGAGATGCAGAGTTGAATCAAGGAAGATGAACCAAAATCTTACACCTGGGGTTGGCGCAGGTTGTTGAAGAGCAGGCGGGAAGGTTGTGACTGGCAGGGCCGGTTCTAGCGTTAGGCAGAAGGGGAGAACTGCCTCAGGAGGCCAACTCGATGAGATAGCAGTAGTAAACCCTTGGCTAGCCTACCCCAGCTACCACCTGTGGCTTGGTGGCTGCCCTCAGATGTCCTGGGGGAGGCTATCCTGTCACATTACAGGCAGCATGTTGCTAGAAACTGAAATTGTGTTAGTGTTTCGGAGAGGTCGGATGGCAGCGGCATGTTGTGTCTGAGCTCTTAGAAAGCCCAGTGACCCCTTGTGAATTGCAGGGATCGTGCAAAACTCCTGCTGTGACAGTCAGACCCTTTTCAGCAAAGGAGGAACTCCCACTTCTAGCCACATCCTCTCTGTAATGCACAGTTGGATCCTAAGATTCAGCTGGGTTCTGGCGAAAATGTGCCCTTTTTCTCTGAGGTAGTCAAATAGCATGAACCAGCCACATCTTTCAGCTGAGCAACTACTGCTGCTCTGTTTTCTACTCGTGTTGTGTCAAACCGTTTCCTCTGCCATCTGGAGCTCCTCCCAACAGTCAGTGTCTACTGCTATTTTATAAGCTCCCTCCAACAATGATATGCCATAGTTTTAACTCCCCAAAAGAGCTCTGGCAAGAACAAAATGGCGGCTGTCAAGCCACTGTTGGTTCCACAGCCAAGTATGTCGTTCACTGAGCTATCCAGTCCGTTAAAACAGTAACTCATTATCCTGCATAGCCAAGGATGATCCTATCATCCTTGGCTATGCAGGAGATCAAGAGTGAGAACCCAAACTATTTAGGTGACACCAAGTTGGGGAAACCTACAATAAACTTTGGCCTGCAGTCTTTCCGGAGCTGTCTCCAGAGCACCACTCGAACTCGCATCCCTGCCCCTTGCAAATTTAAGAGGAACAACGGAGGTCCCTGTCTTAATGTGCAACATTCAGTGTGCCACAGAGATTGAGCCATCCACACGGGGATGTGGTGTCGGTTTCTCTTTCAGGCTGTGGTGACTATTGAGGACGTGGCCGTCCACTTTACGTTGGAGGAGTGGGCCCTCCTGGATCCAGACCAGAAAGCGCTGCACCAGGAAGTCATGCGGGAGAATCACATCAACATCGCGACCTTAGGTAAGGAAGTCTTTCATCCTGAAACCGGAATGTGCCCAGGTGAGGGGAATCCAGATGGTTAATCAAGGGGTTCGCCACTGGCGGCCAGCGGGCTGTTTCTGGCCTCCAACATCCCTGATGTTCCAGGCAAAAGGTATACAAATATGAAAAAGGAATTAACAAATACAGTGGTGCCCCACATAGCGACGTTAATCCGTTCCGGATTAATCGTCGCTATCCGGAAATGTCGCCAAACGGAACTAAAAACCCCATAGGAACGCAAAAAACTCATTTAATGCATTACTATGGGGCCCAAACTCACCATTCAGCGAAGATCCTCCATAGCGCCGCCATTTTCACCGCCTCGGTAAGCGAGGGCAGCGTGTGAAAATGCTTGCGGCTGCCATTTTGGGCACCCAGCGGCCATTTTGGAACCGCCGATCAGCTGTTCTAAAAACATTGCAATGCGAAGATCAGTAAGCGAAACGCTTACCAATCATCGCAATGCGATGTTTGCCCATTCAGAACATCGCAATGCGATCGCATTAGCGATCCCAAAAAATAGATCGCTATGCGGATCCGTCGTTAAACAGTGCGCTCGTTATGCGAGGCACCACTGTACGCTCTGAGGCATAGTAAACAAAAGTAGTGCTAAAAACCAATCCAAAGCAGTAAGGCATAACAACAATCCATCTATAAATCACACTCAGGAACTCCAATAGGGTTTTCAAAATAAGTGAAGTATATAAGGAGTGGTTTTACCCACTCTGGAGCTGGCTGGATATCTTGGTGGTTTAAGTGCCTCCTTGTGGAGCTGAAGGCTGGGAGTTCGATTCCCCCCTCTATGCCACCTGAGAGTCAAGCCAGCCTGGATAGCCTTGGGGGAAGGGGAAACCACTTCTGACAGTGGTCTACCTGGAAAACCCTGAAAAGGGTCACCATGTCAGAATTGACTTGAGATCACATGATGATGATGATGATGATGATGCTTTACCTGTGCCACCCCACCCCTGTGAGTTTCCGTGGCAGAGTCAGGGAATTGAACCATGGTCTCCGGAGTCCTAGTCTCTCACTCTGTCAACTGCACTGGTTACTTCCAATCCCTTCATAATTTCCCCTTTTCATGCTTCTAGCATGTTGTATAATGGCTGGTATCCAGCAGACTAACTTACACCATGGCTGGCTGAATTGCTCTGCGATTTAGGAGCGAAAGAGGCTGGGAGTTCGATTCCCCCTCTGTGCCTCCTGCGAGTCGAGCCAGCCTGGGTAGCCTTGGGGGAGCAACACAGCCCCAGGGTGTCCCGTCCCCCTGTAGAAGAAGGGAAGGGGAACCTCTTCTGGGTACCTTCTACCTAGAAAGCCCTAGAAAAGGGTCTTCATAAGTCTGAATTTAACTTGTGCATGATTATTATTATTAATTGACACCACACGAGGCTGATTATATCCCACGGCACCAGTTTTCGGAAATTAAAGACTTCCCCTTATCCCGCACCCTCCTGCAGCAGTTTCCGCACAGTGCGAGGGATCCCAAGGGTGCTTCCAAACCTCCAGGATAAATTGGGTGTGTTTTTTTTATTTCTGAAAAAGTGTTTGGCAGATGACGCCACCAGCCTTCCGCAGCATATGTTGCACTGCTAGATTTCAGCTTTGGGTTGCCTTTAAAAAAAAAAAAGATGCTGCTTGGACTACAACTCCCAGAATCCCCCGATCCCCATGCCTCGAACACGCAGGGAGGGCCCGTGGCTGAGTAAAACCGGTGTGTCTCCCTCGTATGTTGCACTGCTAGATTTCAGCTTTGGGGTTGCCTTTAAAAAAAAAAAAAAGATGTTGCTTGGACTACAACTCCCAGAATCCCCTGATCCTCATGCCTCGAACACGCGGGGAGGACCCGTGGCTGAGTAAAACTGGTATGTCCCCCTCACTCACGCCCAGGTGGCTCCTTGTTCTGTTCCGGCAGCTTATCCACATGCCAGCGAGTTTGAAGAGAGGATCGGCCGACGGGAACAGGACGATCCGGACGGACTCAACCGAACATCATCGAGGAGGGAGATGGGATCCGTTTCCTTACTTTGTGTGGAAAGCAGAGGCGCTCCGAATCAACACAGCCGAAAGAGGCAGCGAAAGGGCCCGCTCAAAAGTGGGCCCAAACAACCAAGGAATCGTACAATCAGAAGAAGGAGCAAATCTGGCGTGGGTTTTCCTGACTGTCTACGTGGGTGTGAAGAAGGGGCACAGGCTTCACTGGAGGAGAGCTGTAGGGAGCAGCGGCCCCGACACCCTCCAACCAAGAGGATGTACAATCAGGAGACACCCTTTCGGTGCCCAGACTGTGGGAAATGCCTCAGCCAGAAGGGTCACCTCAGGAGGCATCAGCGACTCCACAAGGCCGAGAAGCCCTACCGGTGTTCCTCTTGCGGCGAGGCCTTCAGCCAGAGCTTACGGCTGATCGTGCACAGCAGGACTCACACCGGGGAGAAGCCCTTCGAGTGCCCGCAGTGCGGGAAGCGCTTCCGTACGTGCACGGGGCTGGTGCATCACCGGCGGGTCCATGTGGAAGAAAAGGTCTACCGCTGCGCCGACTGTGGGGAGAACTTCCGGGAAAGATCACACTTTGCGGCCCACGAGAGGAGCCACATGGAAGGGAGGCCGTACCACGGCGGGTTTTGTGGCAAGACTTCCGGTGGCCGCTCAGAGTTCGCCCAGCTCCACGGGAGGTCTCGCCCCAGGGAGAAGCCTTACGGGTGCTCGTTCTGCGGGAAAACCTTCACCAAGAGTTCTCATCGTCGCGCCCACGAGAGGTCTCACACGGGGGAGAACCCCTGCAGGTGCCCGGTCTGCGGGAAGCGCTTCAGCTGCAACTCCCACCTCATGGTGCACGAGAGGATCCACACAGGGGAGAAGCCCTTCCCTTGCTCGGCCTGCGGGAAAAGCTTCCGGTCCCGCTCGCACCTCATTGTGCATGAACGGATCCACACGGGGGAGAAGCCGTACCGGTGCTCCACCTGTGGGAGGGGCTTCACTGGGAAGTCCTACCTAACGGTCCACGAGAGGACCCACACGGGAGAGAAACCTTACGGGTGTTCGACTTGTGGGAAGGGCTTCAGCCGTAACGCGGACCTTGTCCTCCATCAAAGGACCCACACGGGAGAGAAACCGTACCGATGCTCGGCCTGTGGGAAAGGCTTCAGCCGTCGGAAGCGCCTAGCTGCGCACGAAGAGAAGCATGTGGAGGGGTGCCTGGTGGCATCAAAAGTGTGAGAGTAGAGGGGAAAGGGGTTTTCCTCTTAAGTCACAGGTTAAATCACTGGGGAAGCAGAATCGTAGCCCTGTGGGAATGTGGGCACATTGTGTGAATACCATCCCATCTCTCTCTCTCCCCTAGCTGTCTGTCTGTCTGTCCATCCATCCGTCCATCCATCTATCCATCCATCTACACATACCTGGTACACATATCTAATGCTGGTTGTTGTGGGTTTTTTGGGCTCTTTGGCCATGTTCTGAAGGTTGTTCTTCCTAACATTTCGCCAGTCTCTGTGGCCGGCACAAAAATACATCCACAAGACACACTAATCACCCATCTACAGAAAAAGACCAAAGCCTATCTCACAGCCACCTCTCTCTCTCTCTCTCTCTCCCCCCAGCTGTCTGTCTGTCTGTCCATCCGTCCGTCCATCCAGCCATCCACCCATCTATCTATATGTCCGTCCGTTTGTTCGTTTGTCCGTCCGTCCATCCGTCCGTCCGTCCATCCATCCGTCCATCCGTCCATCTACCCACCCATCTGTCTGTCTGTCCGTCCATCTATCTATCTGTCTGTCCATCCGTCCGTCCGTCCATCCACCCACCCATCCCACAAGTGATTTATGCACCATAAATCAAAACTGACTTGTCAGCATATGGTTATTCTTAATTCTTACCTTCCTTACATTGGCGACTGGATTTTGGTCTCTGTTGTGGGCTATATTTCTTGTACTATTAAAAATCTGCTCACCTGAAAACTGGTAGAACCGGTTTGTTGATGGGAGTCAATCCAGCCTGCTTGGACTTGGGGTGTTCCTCCATGGGGCAGGCGTGGGTAGGGGGCGCTGTCATCAGGAGTGCTTATATTGAGGAATGTACAGCTCCCATTAGGTCACTGCCCATGACTCTTTCAAACTAGCAACTGTGAACAAGAATTCTGATAGACTGCGTGAATGTATTGTGTGCGGGGACAGCCCTTGGAGACTGGCCAGATGTTACAGACAGACCTCACACAGGATGAATGTTGTGCATCAAGCTTCTTCTACTGTGCTGGTTCATGAGACAAGCACCCCGGGCATCTTATATGAACTTCATAAATTATATCAGAGTCTTTAAATTGTGAGCAAGAAATCAACACCCAGTGTGCAGCGGCAGTGAAGAAGGCCCATTCCATGCTAGGTATCATTAAAAAAGGGATAGAAAATAAAACAGCCAACATGATAATGCCGTTGTACAAAACGCTGGGGCTCTTGAGTCTAGAAAAAAAGGCACCCGAGGGGGAGACATGATTGAGAGGCATCAAATTCTGCAGGGGATGGATCAAGTAGATGGAGGGAAGCTCTTTTCCCTCTCACAATACCAGAACCAGGGGACCTCCACGCCAATGGAGGATTGGGAGCGTGAGAAAAGACCAAAGGAAAGATTGTTAGTCTGTGGAACTCCTTACCACAGGATGTGGGTGATGGTATCTGGCCTAAATGCCTTGAAAGGGGGATTGGACAGATTCCTGGAGGAAAAGTCTATCGCAGGTGACAAACCAGGATGATGGGGATGTACAATCTCCAGGCTTTTAAAAGGAAGGGACCTCCAAATGCCAGATGCAGGGGAGGGGGATCAGGAGATCTGGTGGTCTCGTCTGCTCCCAGAGGCATCTGGTGGGGCCTCCTGTGAGATCCAGGGATATGGACTTACATGGGCCCTTGGCCTGATCCAGCAGGGCTCTTCTTAGGTTCTTATATAAATACTATTCACCTTTGAGGCTGAATACAGCTTTTTTTTATTATAAGCAAATAAAATGAAAAATAAATTCTTTTTCAGTCCACGGAAGGGCACACGAAGCCACATTGATGCAGGTACAGTGGTGCCTCGACTTACAAACTTAATCCGTAACGGAATGGTGTTCGTACGTCGAAATGCTCATACATCGAAGTACTATTTCCCATTGAAATGCATGGGAACAGGATTAATCCGTTCCAGCATTTCAAATAAATAAATAAATAAATAAAAATAAAAAAAAATATTATTATAAGCAAACAAAATGAAAAATAAATTCTTTGTCAGTCAGTCCACGGAAGGGCACACGAAGCCACGTTGGTAACTGGGCTGTAAAACAATCTTTGCGATTTTATCCTGAAGCATTCATTAGGTTTTAAACGTTGCGTTATTGCACATGCTTCTGTGGATATTGTTGGATATCAGATAATCAACCTTGGTTTCCCCAGAGGTTCTCGAACTACAACTCCCCAAAGCTCAGCTTTTTTTTATTATAAGCAAATAAAATGAAAAATAAATTCTTTTTCAGTCCACGGAAGGGCACACGAAGCCACATTGATAACTGGGCTGTAAAACAATCTTTGCGATTTTATCCTGAAGCATTCATTAGGTTTTAAACGTTGCGTTATTGCACATGCTTCTGTGGATATTATTGGATATCAGATAACCAACCTTGGTTTCCCCAGAGGTTCTTGAACTACAACTCCCCAAAGCTTTCACCACCGGCTGTGCTGGCCAGGATTTCTGGGAGTTGTAGTCCAAGAAATTTTAGGGGAAGGAAGATTGGAAACGACAGCTCTGAGTAAAACGTTTTGTGTAATTTTGTTGGGGGAGAAGCGAGAAATGAACATTTGAAATGGAAGCACATCTCCCTGCAACTCTTATACAGCATTGTTTCCCCCAGCTAGTCTTTAGTGTTTAAACTGGGACAGCATGCCAGTAATTGTACGTTTTTTAAATATTTCATATTTTGTTTTCTTTATATAAACATTCCTCAGTTTAAAGTGTTGTTCACACACTTACTTACTTACTTACTTACTTACCCAAACCATGTTTTGTGTGTTATGTTCTGTGCCATTAGCTTGGAACGGACTTATAGCGATCCTCCAGCAGGACTTTCAAGGTCAGTGAGCTATTTAAGGAGCAGTTTGGGGGTGGCGCTGTGGGCTAAACCGCAGAAGCCTTTGTGTGCTGCAGGGTCAGAAGACCAGCAGTCGACTTACTTACTTACTTACTTACTTACCCAAACCATGTTTTGTGTGTTATGTTCTGTGCCATTAGCTTGGAACGGACTTATAGCGATCCTCCAGCAGGACTTTCAAGGTCAGTGAGCTATTTAAGGAGCAGTTTGGGGGTGGCGCTGTGGGCTAAACCGCAGAAGCCTTTGTGTGCTGCAGGGTCAGAAGACCAGCAGTCGTAAGATCGAATCCACGTGACGGAGTGAGCACCCGTCGCTTGTCCCAGCTCCCGCCAACCTAGCGGTTCGAAAGCATGCAAATGCGAGTAGATCAACAGGGACCACCTCGGTGGGAAGGTAACAGCGTTCCGTGTCTAAGTCACACTGGCCATGTGACCACGGAAGATTGTCTTTGGACAAAAACGCTGGCTCTGTGGCTTGGAAACAGGGATGAGCACCGGCCCCTAGAGTCGAACACGACTGGACAAAAATTGTCAAGGGGAACCTTTACCTTTACCTTTACCTTGGGGGTGTCAGGACCGGGAATATAGAAGAAGCAGCAAATAGGAGAACTGATTGGTAGATCTTTCTGTCTTTGGCCAGAACACACTGGATGGATAGCGAGTAAAACCAAAGAGAAGCTTGTGACCTCATTCATGGTGTAAATAAAGTCAGATTATAACGTTGGGGAACTCGCTCGTCCAAAAAGAGCACCAGTTCTGTATCGTGCTTCATAACCTAACAACTGATGGAGGTTGGAAATGAACTCAAAATACAGCTGTGCTGTTCAGTTAGTAGAAACATACAAAAAATGCATGGGAAAATAAGGTGTCATAGAATCATGACGTTGGAAGGGGTGGTGTAAATAAAGTCAGATTATAACGTTGGGGAACTCGCTCGTCCAAAAAGAGCACCAGTTCTGTATCGTGCTTCATAACCTAACAACTGATGGAGGTTGGAAATGAACTCAAAATACAGCTGTGCTGTTCAGTTAGTAGAAACATACAAAAAATGCATGGGAAAATAAGGTGTCATAGAATCATGACGTTGGAAGGGGTGAGGCATGGGAAAATAAGGTGTCATAGAATCATGATGCTGGAAGAGGTCCTGCGAGGCCATCCAGTCCAACCCTTTGCTCGAGGCAGGAATCCAAATCAAAAGCAGATCTGCCAGGATGGTTGTCTAAGTTCCTTTTGAACGCCTCCAGCATTGGGAGCGCTCACCAGGTCATCGGTTCCATTGCTGTACCACTGGAACAGGAAGTGTTTCATGATAGTCCCCTGAAATCTGGAGCATCTCCTTTAGGCAGTGGTCCCCAACCCTGGGCCTCCAGATAGTCTTGGACTAAAACTCCCAGAAGCCTTCACCACCACCACCTCTGCTGGCCAGGATTTCTGGGAGCTGAAGTCTTGGAACATCTGGAGACCCAAGGTTGGGGGGGGATCACTACCTTTAGGTATAAAGTCGAGGTCTCTAGCTGCAAAGACAAAGGTTGGGAGTCCAGTTTCCTTGTTCTGCTTCCTTAAGAGCAGCTGGATCTGATGGATCCATAGGGTCCCCGCCAGCTCTGCAGTTCAAAGATATAAGATTACAAAATTCCCTGCAGCTTCTAATGAACTGGAGGAAAATCTTACCTCGGTTGCATGCATCCAAATGGGAGACTGCAGCCACAAACACACAACACACACACACAACACACACACACAAGCAGCACACAGGGACTTAAGGAGCTTGCAAAGATCGTTTGAGATCAAGTCCAAATCCTACCGTATTTCCCCGTGTATGACACCCTACTTTTCCCTAAAATCCTGAGACTGAAAAGTAAGTGTGTGGGGGGGTCGTCTTATACACGGGGGGAGGACCCACGTGGTAGCGAAACCCGCCTCCTTAAGCGGAGGAGGAGTAAGCCACGTGGTTGCGAAGCGATTCTGCGAAGAGGGCTTTCCTCCAATCAGGAGCCCTTATGCAAATGAGGTCAGCTGATGCGGAGGAGTTTCTCCCCCTCTTCCCCGGGCCCGCGCGCGCGCGAGCGAGCGAGCGAGTGCGCGCGCGCCTTGCAAAGCGAGATCTGCAATGTCGGAGCATCCTGAGGCCAGCGAGAGGTCAGAAAGCATGAAAAAAAACAAGCGGATGTCTTACTCCGCCAAATTCAAGCTGCACGTCATCAGCTACGCC